ACTGGATGTAGCTTGATCCTGACAGGTGAAAGTTACAGCAGCACCACATAAAAGCGTAACTTGCACCTGAAACTTGAGGAAGTTTTATCATCTGCTCAACTGGGTGTTGTTCTGTAGCTGAGATATCCCAGCTTTTGAGCACAGTTAAATTGGTCATCACACATTTCCCACACCTTGACATGAAACAGCTAATTAATCCAGGTTAATGGTATTAGCAGGGTCTGTTACAGTACTTAAGGTAATGACACACAGCTGTGCTGTGCTGTGCCTACACCTTGTCTAGCAAACAGCATTCTGGTTGTAAAGACACCTCCCATCTGCCTATGAGGAACATTTTTTTCTGCTCAATACTGTTCTGCACAAACATCTAGGTTAGAAATCATAACATTTAAATCTTAACAGGCTTTTTTTTCCCAGAAATAATAGTTTCATTGAAAGAATAGATCCTTTAAAAAATGGTCGTTAATTTTGAACAGTTTTGCTTCATCTTTGAGGTATCAGCTATAGTTGTTTCACTCAGGACTAGGCAGTAACATGGACACTGACAAATCAGGACAATGCAGGAACAACTGCTTATGTGAATCTGGTACTAGCACTTACTCATTTTATGCTTTAAAGAATTACCAAATTTGTTTTCAAGACAGCTTCCTACTTGTTAATAGCTTAAATATAACAACAGAAAACACAGCAAATGTGAGAAGTTTTCGAATTTCCTGTACCCACCCAAGAAAAAAGTATTAAGAACATTTTTATTAGACTAAACTGTGCTGCTTTGCCACACCACTAGCAGACAGGAGGGCCAAATGACGACAGACACGAACTGTGTATGAGATAACTTATTTTATTTATTCAATTCTCAACATAATTTTTGATGCTAAAAATCGGTCAAAGGCACTTCAAAGAAGGTATTTAAGAAACAAATCCTTATGGTGATCATTCCAGACAAGTCACCAACTTTTATCTGCCATTAGGAACACAACTACCTATATTTGCAAAGTGAAACATTCACAGGTTTTCAGTGGAGCATACTGTCCAGCAGCAATATCCAATTTTTTTAGACTATTAATAACATTTGTGGAGTATTTTAAATACAATATGGTAAAACAAAGCAAATTACACTTTTGGAGTTCCACAGAAGATTTCTCGACAGAAAAAAGGACAAAACTGCCCTTCCCAGTGGTCCTGTACTGAGGGGTCTACTTTCACCTGTGTGTGCACTGTGAGCATCAGCAGCAGGTACACCAGAGGAACAACTCACACTTTTCTGTCCTACAAAGACAAAACACCCTGCTCAGATAACAAACCATTTTTAAGAGGTCTATCAGCTACTCACTAAAATTTATACTTCTGGAAGCACAACAGAACAAATGGCAACATGTGAAGAAAAAGTCATTTTTAGTATACATCCCCACCACAGCAAAACAAAGTGTCCTTAAATGAAAAACATACCAAGGAAAGAGCTTCCACAAAGTGAGAGATGGTGCTAACATCACCAGTGTGTAACCCCTTAAAATTCATCATAAGTGAAAGACGATTAAAACTGGTCTTTTTCTGCAAACAAAGATTAATAGTATCCTCTGATTAAGAACAGTGATCAAAATAACTTCTTGGCATTCTCAGTCTTTCTGAACTAAAAAGCACTTGTACAAGGTTAAAATGGTACTCTGTCACACTAAGGGACATTCCCACATCCACCGCCCCATAATTTCCAGAAAAGACTTCAAAATTTTTAGACTTAGGGTCATTTAAATCACTATGATGCCAACAGAAGCTTTTAGGTTTTAAAAAATTAAGAAGCCTCTTTTAGAAAGCAAACCACAGAGCAATAATCTGCATGGCCTAAGTGAGCCCATATTCCTGTGCTTCAGAGTCTCTCCACCTGAAATACAGCCTCCTTGGGCTGCAGAAAATCTCAAACTCAATAAATACTTTCTCAAAGCACAAAGACCTGAGAGTGAAAGAGCAAACTACTAATAGTAGTGTGATATTGTCCACGAAAAATATACTAACATTTCACCTGGTCTACCGAGGCTTCTGAAGCAGTGAGATACAAACCAATTATTCCAGGGTATCAGCTCATGATTATGGCAATACAATTAAACAGAGAACAACAGGCTTCTGTTATAATTACAGAATGTAAAACCTGATCCTCTTTTAGCTTGTCTGGAAAGAAAAAAAAATTCTTTGCAGTGCTGTTAGAAAGGCAAAAGAAATAGATTCAGAGGCCTATGCAGAAGGACACTTTAAAGCAAAGCAAGAATGGACATTTGAAGAAAAGGCTACTCGTTTCTCCAGATAGGCCACCCACTTATCACAAGGTATTTTGTCCTTAGCCTTATTCCCTTCAGAAATGGAACTTGTTCCTTTATAAAGTCCCTCTGAGGTGCTGCATGTTTTGTGGAAAGGGATGTTCCTGCCCTGCTAAACCCACAAGTCCCAGCTGGGCAGCAGATAAGATTTAGAATTGCTGCTGAGAAAAGGGTTCACCATGAGCTCACTGGTTTACCCTGCCACCTCAGCAAACAACTTGTGAGGACCTCAAACATCTCACTACCTGCTTCCTCCTGTCCTCCTGATATTTAAGCAACATGGAGCTGAAAAGCCAGAGACAGGATAGTCAGGTTCATAAGGAGCATGAAGAGGAAATGATGTTGCTTAACAGGGCAGCACAGGGCAAACACACGACACAAAGCTGCAGAAAATATGCAGGATTAGTTCTGCCTGTTGTGGTAGAAAATCTTTAAATCCCCACGGATGAACTGAGGAAGAAAGCAGGAGTAAAGGAACTGTAGAGTAGTTCAATAGATCTTCGACATGGGCTGAATTTACAAAGAGATTAAGTTGAGATCTTGGTTTCATTTTGTAACTTCCTTAAGTATTTCGGAAAATTTTAACTGCATGTTTGAACAATGCCACTGGAGTTATCAATTCCATATGGATTCCACAATCTTACTCGTTTGTGCTGCATGTGGGATAAACATGGAGCTCACAGAAGGAACCACCTCTCAGAGGGTAACACTGTCCTCTGGACAAATATCCCTCTGACTAGAGCAAGCTGGAAAGATTTTCCTTTTTTAAACCAATGCAGTGATAACTTCACATAAGTCAATTAAGGTAAAATAAAGCTCCTGTCCCTCTCAGTACTTCAGAGGCATTTCCGTCCATAAAAGACCCACAGATTTAACCTTGCAGGAACTATTTAACACTTGATATATGAACACAGCCTGTACTGAGGCAGAGAAGATGTATGCAGCAGTCCCACACCATGAGCTACTTCAGTAATTGCCATCATGGTACAGAGCAATGGTCAGAAAGGATGTCATGACTCTACTGTTGGACAACAGATAGAACTCCAATCTGTACTAGAACTATCTTTGGAAAAAAAATTCCAGTACTTCACTGTAACAGCTTCTCCCAGGAACATCCTGAAGGACAGCAGTAGTAAATAAGGCTGTCTGCTACCAGCATGTGCCCTTTCCAAAACAATGACTGGAGGTAATTAGGTTATGTCCAAATTCATCAATATGATGAAGGTGAAAAGTAATAAAAAGATGAAGAAACTTTTGTGCAAGTGTGGAATAAAGACACACTACATGTCAAGCTTAATCCCATCCCCCATACTGCTATTCACTCAACTTGAAAAGGAGAAGACCAGAAAGTTTTACATTAACTCTATAAAACATAGGTTTGGCCTCTGAAAAAAAATTCAGTAATTAAAACACCGATTTTGTCACACACCAAGAAAGTGTTTCCAGTTAAGAGGCAGAGATACTTAAGAAGTAGTGGAGAAAGTTAATGCACTTTGAAAGATTCCTGCATTCAGGCTGGCTCACCTGAATAACTATGCACTTCAGCTTCAAAAAGAATGGAATAAGCATCATTTAATGCTTTCTACTCAATAGAGGTAACAAGAAGCAGCTACAGAAGAAACGTTTAAAAGCGGAGAAAAAAAATTTTCAGAAAGGTGAAATCAAGTACTTCAGCCAAATAACTGGCTTTGCTGCAGTTTTAAAATAGGACTTGTTTGTATGTATAAAGTTTTAATCTCCAAGTACAGTGATGTGAAAGTTAAATGGATAAAAAATAGTCCTAACTCTGGTGAAACCAGGCTGTTATAAAGCCTTTGTAACTTTGCTAAGATACTATTCTTTCTGGTTTACATGGAAGGTGGGATGGAAGACAGACTTCTATTTCAAAAAGCATCTACCTTATGCTGAGAAATGCTGAGATGAATTTTTATAACCATTCAACCAACAGGATGAGTCAAAAAAATAAACAAGCAAACAAAAAAGCAAATATGTAAGCAGCTTGCATCACCTCAGCAATTGACACAGCAACTATTTCTGAGTTTCTCCCCTAAAACAGTGGTGATCCAACTTCATATTCTTTTGTACAACAGAGGCTTAAAATTTTAAAAAGTAATTCATAGAAGTGAATTCAGCTTCTGAAACAATTCAGATTAATCTCGTGGCTGAATTTCTGCCTATTCAGAATAACCAGTCTGTTGTTAAGGCAAAGCAGAATTGAGACTCTATTTTCATGCCTCTCCCTTCCTTTCAGGGCAAGGTACACAAAGCAGCTTCAAGATATTGAGAATATTAGAGAAAGCCATCATGAAGTGTTTGACTGGGTAGCTACCAATTGACTTAACAGGAAGGAAACAGGAGAACAGAAAATACAACAGAAATACTGTATGATTACCTCTGAACCCATCTACTATGTTTTTTATACAAATTCTTCCAGATACTAGTGTACCAGAACAACCTCCTATTTCACAGCTTTAGGGCCCCAAATCCTCGTGAGCCAGGCTGCAAGGTCACACTATCCCAAACAGTCAGAGCCAGCACCAGACTCTATTGAACACAGTGACAGGAGTACTGCCAACTTGATTTTTGAAACAAGAATTGCCAGGAATAATTTCAGTCCACAAGCTTCATGCACGAGTTTGAGGAGACTCTTACTCACTGTCCTGGCTTCTTTTTGGTTTCTGCAAAGTCCAGTTAACTCTCAGAAATCTTTTGCTTTAGCTTTTGATTATCTTCCAGTGCTTCATTTTTGCCCTGCACTTCTGGATTCTTTGACAAATCGGGATTGTATCGATACAAATACCCATATGGACGAAGATGATAAATCAAATACTCCAAATGATACATAGTCACAGAATCAACATAGTGGAATGAAACTGCTAGGTCAGAGCAGCATCCAGGACCCTAAAACACAAAACAAGGCAAAACAATAAGCAAGAATTGCAAAGTATGCCCATTTGTACATGAAACACCACATGCCTGTTACTTATATCAGCATCAGACAGGGCATATAAGCAAAATATGTGCGCACATATATAACCTGCGTGTGTTGACACATTATATAGTGTGGCATAATTTTCAGGATTTAACTTCCTACGCAGAGAAAGTTCAAAAATAATCCACAATGATTTGTTACAAGTTTGTTAATTTCACTGACATTATTAAGCATTTTTGCGAGCTAAAAGATCATTGTTAACACCTTTTTAACAACATATTTTCTACCTCAAATTCAACTTTGAGAACTCTTTTCTGCAGCATACTTTTGGGATTACTTTTTCATCAGATTAGATTGCAGAGCTGTTAATATTTCAACTCCAACTGGAACTAAGTTTAAATATTTAAAGACACCAAAGAGAACAATTGTTATATAACTGTTGTTCTTTCAATACTTACCAAGTTTGATCAATATAGCTTATTTTTGATACCAGATGAAGTAGTCTCTATCCAAATATGACATGACAGGATCAAATAGGTCATTTCCATTACAGCTCTCAATCACCAATGCATCAGTTATAGATGGAACTGTCCATGGCTCAGTGACCTCTACACTGCAGCCACAGCTAAAGCTGCTGCCTCCTGACACACTAAATACAGTATCATAGCTGGTTTCAGCTACAGAAATGCTCTGGCCACTGAATACAAGTATAGAAATAGATTATGCTTTACAATTAAAAGAATCTACTGAAGAACTACTTTATTTCACCTTTAATGTGTGAAAAATCCTAAATCCTGTCCTTGAATTTTTCCACCTATGCTGATCTCAAAGCTCTCTGAAAACTAATTGCTGCCCCATCCCCCATGATATTATTTTTAACCCGGGAATTTCAGCTGTGGAACACAAAAGGACAATCTCAAGTTCTTACAGTAAGAATGTTTCAGTTTGTAAGTGCTATATTCGTTGCTGCAACAAAAGCTTTGCCAGCCCTCATGCTTGTGTCCACTTCTACAGAAGGAAGCTGAGACCGATACAACTACACAAGGAAGTCTAACCATATTTCCTTGTTTGGGTCATGCTTTTATTTCACTTCTAAGAAACTTTTGTTCTTCTGCAGTCTTTTCAATGCAATTCATTTACATGTACAACTTAAAAACCCTCAATAAAAAAGCAAGGGCAGGGCAGCTAGAGCAGAGCAGTGTTCAAGCCAGGTAACACTGCACACAGTTACCAGTGACAGGAAAAGCATTATCTCCATCTAACAGGAAAAGGACCAGCAGGCAGTAGAATCACACATACCATTACCCACCAGCCCTTCCATAACTCGAGGATCTCTTACACAATGCATGACAAAGTCTCAAAGTTAGGTGTGTTTCTACAGGCTTTATGCAAAGTTTGATGGTGGGCAGAAGATAAAGGTGTATCACTTTCCCATTCAGTAGGCTTTAATATAACTAAGCCACACTTTGGCCCAGCTCTGTACAGTGAGCACAGACACCTTGGAATGCTCCACACTGGACTCGATTCCCCCTGTACAGTTGGGTGGAGAATCTGAGGACACTTTGTGTGAGAGCTGGGGGAACACAACAGAACAGTAACTTTGCAAGGACAATACAAGTGGTGGCACTAGACAGAAGTGTCAAAAAGGCTTCATCATTTTTTACTGTCCATGAAACATAGCAAAACTGCAATAGATTCACTAGCCCTCTGGAATGTTATGTTTTTAGCACCAACACTGCTTGATTAGTGTATTCAACACATCTACACATGGGTGTATCAGAGGATGCAACAAAAAAAACTTGTAAAATATACTGAGCTGCTATTAAACTGCTAATTCACACATCGCATGTTCATACACAGCATAAGATACACTTCATACAATGAGTACCAGGCTCCTAAGGACTTACCTCTACAGCAGGATAGTAATTGTAATTCCAGTACCAGAATGTTTTTGGTAGGTATCCTCTAATTAAGTGATGTTCTGGAACAAAGGGATGAAAGGTTTCTCTACCACTTGTATCCCGAGAATCTCCTGCTTCCACATTAATGACCTCCATGCATTTTCCTAGTGCTAGATCTTCAATAGAGGAACTGTGAGAGCATTTGTTTGTTTTAAACGCAGCAACAAATCTCTTCAGAGCTTCTTTGCTCAGAACGTAGCCTGCTCCTCCACTCATGTAGCCCTGCTTCACATAAGGCTTAAACCTTCTTCCGAAGTATATTGGTTGTTCAGGACTGTATTTTGAAAGAAGCCATCTCAAATTGTCCAATATAACGTAAGTATCATCATCTGCTTTCATAAACCAATCAGCATCATCAAAATAATGGTCATGTACATACTGAAAAGCTTTAATAGTCTTCCAATACAGCTGGTCTCTGCCTTCTTTGGTTTCTAGGCCCACAGTAGGGAAGTCTTTATTTTCCTCAGAGCTCATAAAAAGTACTTTATTACAGCGTTGGGCCCAAGTGGCCTTAACATGCTTGGCTTTCTTTTCTAGATTTTGAGGTCCAGTCATGACCCAACACAGTATTTTCACCTTCTGATACAGTCCCTCTGCAATATTTTTATCCTCATCTAAAAAGAGAGGAAATTTGCAAAACAGTATTAGACATGATTGCAGAACAAACTAAGACCAACTTCCCCCAGATATTCTGCTTCTAGATCAGAAGAGACATACAGACAGAAAAGAGATTTTTTGCTTCCAAATGTAACAGTTAATGACCTAAATGCTACATTTCAGAAGGAAACAAAAAAAGACTCTCAAAAGCAAGGAACTAAAATTCTTAAAGCTACTTCAAATTCGCAGGACAAAGGAGAACATAAGAGTCATATCAAAATGGGTTTCTGTTCAGGGAAGTGTGGGTACAGAAAACCTTTTTTTGTACATAAACACTGTTTGGGTGCAACTTCTTTAGGATGTTGATGGACTAATGAAAATTTAAAAACTAAGTATTTTTGCCATTCACAGTGAACACATCTTAATGATTACAACACAGAAAAGCCAAAAGGCTAATAAGCTCTTTTATATATCATAGAATCATAGAATTTTAGGGGTTGGAATGGACCTTACAGATCATCTAGTCCCAACCCCCTGCCATGGACAGGGACACCTCCCACTAGAGCAGGTTGCTCAAGAACTCATCCAGCCTGGCTCCGAACACTGCCAGGGTTGGGGCATCCACTACCTCTCTGGGCAAACTGCGCCAGTGTCTCACCACCCTCAGAGTAAAATAAAAAATTCTATAGTATCTAACCTAAATTTCCCCTCCTTCAGTTTGAATCCATTACCCCCGTCCTATCATTGCAGTTCCTATATTCACGTTAACTAACAAAGTCTAATAAATATTTCTAAGACACCAAGACGTTTTTCAAGAAAAAAAACCAAATGGCAAGTCAGAAATAATTGATTACAAGCCAAGTTAAAGCCTATTTATAAACAACTATAGTATCTAACCTAAATTTCCCCTCCTTCAGTTTGAATCCATTACCCCCGTCCTATCATTGCAGTTCCTATATTCACGTTAACTAACAAAGTCTAATAAATATTTCTAAGACACCAAGACGTTTTTCAAGAAAAAAAACCAAATGGCAAGTCAGAAATAATTGATTACAAGCCAAGTTAAAGCCTATTTATAAACAAAAAATTAAATAAGTTATTATACTATGAAACTAGTATTACTTTTGTGCTAAAACATTTTTATTTGCAGACAGTCCAGCAGAGTAAACACAGTTATCTGGGCTGTGCAATATAACGTTTTTCACACTGCAAAGCATTCACTTCTCTCAAAGAAACATTTTCACTTGATAAGTACAGAAAGATTTTAACTCAAAAGAATATTTCATGGACAGTGAGATCTGCATAACTGGTACTAAAATATTCCTGCTCAAACTTCAGATCAGATTTCTTTGTTACACTGTTCTACAATTACGTGTGAAGCACTCACAAACTTGTCTTACAAAGTCTGGAGTTTAAGTATGTTTAAAAAAACAAATTAACAACTAGCACCTTCAGCAAAGGCCTTACAGTGCAATCCTTCTCATCCAAGCTGCCCCTACTCAGACACTATCTGTATATAGGATTTAGAATGAACTCAGTTTAATGAGATGTGTCAAATGTAAAAGTGCTCCTGAAATACCTGAAGGATCTACCTTCTCTGGAAAAAAAACAAAATCAAAATAATCAGAGTGCAAAAGAATTTCTCCAGCTTTGACTACAAACAGCAATCTGTGTTTGGACTGCTGCACAATCAGCTTGACAAATCAAGCCCACAGTGACCCCTTTTGCCCCCTCTCCCCCCTGCCCCAATTCCATATTTCACTACTCGTATCAAAAAGTGATTTTTTTTTTTTTTAGCTTTATCTTAGAGGCTAGATCAAAAGTTACAAGCGGTCCAAAATTGGCTTCTTAAGCCTGAAAAGTCATCCAGCTGCATCTACAAAGCTGGCAAATATATCTGCTTAGCAAAACTGCCATTCGAGAACTTCCTGCTCCGAACAAGTCTGGATGCAGAAGCTGGACAAAGAGTTGGGCTCTAAGGAAAAAAAATCACTACTGTAATAAAAACGTAAACAAAGAAAACCATCATTCAGTAGACCTCAGGAAAACATAGTTATTTAGATGTAACCTAAACCTGGGGAAAATGAAAGAAAATGATTCATACAAATTTCGGGCGGTGAAGAAAGCAACATTTTGCAAAGCATAAAAAGGGAGCACATTATCTAATTAATCAGGTGTAACAAAATACCTTTATGCTGTCCAGCGTCTGCATTGAAATTCATTTGTCCTTGCAGCTGATTGTTATCAGTATCTGCTGAGTGCTGACCATGTGGATCATTGTGAAGAACATGAGGTTGGATCTTAACTTGTTCTTCTAGTATAATGCTGAACAGAAGATAGCAAACGAAAAATCCTATTGCTGACCCAAAAGTGAAGGTTAGGAGGTTTATCAAAGACTTAGAAGAGGCCATCTCCTGAAGGTCAGACGCTGTTAAAACCAAATGAAAAACAGATTAAGCTTAAAGCCACTTTAACACAGGAATCAAATCTAGAACTGGAAGAAGAAATCAAGGACTAAATCTTTGAAAGTAGAGAACTCAGTTCTAGCTCAGATTCAGCTCCCAAGGGCTAGAACTGAAGTTTAAGTACAAGAGCAATGCAAATATCCATATAAAATTGTACATCCATTGATAAATTCAGTGCAAAAGGCCTATCACATATTCTTTAGTTTAAAATTATGAAGGACAGTAATAAATCCCAACAGGGGCTGTACATACAAATACTATTCATGACATTGATACAAGAATGTCTACATTAAAGTCAATATCTTTATAAAACAGTAATACATGATTTCTGCTTTATTCTCTTCATCCCATGAAATCTGCACGTTAAAATGTAGTAACTATGGCTTTTATGAAACTAAAAGAACGTAATCAATGACAATCTACAGGTCAAGATACAACATGGTCATGACATGTTCTTAAAAACTCCAGGATAATGTATATTTCAGGAACTCTTTAACAGCTGTCAATCCCATGCAGATTTTTGAAGAGTTATAAAAGCCTATGCCCAAAGCAGGGCAGTTTTCCTCACACTTTTAGGAACTACTGAGGACAGACTTTCAGAAGAAATCGTTAAGACAACATCTGAACATTTCATAGATAAACACCCATTTTTAAAAGGAAGAGGAGAAGAAAGCACGTCAGCCTTAAGGCCTCTTCTACACATCAAAAACCTCAGCAATAAAAAAACATCCCTTAATTTAGCCACACCTTTGCTCCTCAAAAACTGAAGGATTTGGCTGACCGTTTTTATAAAATTGAGCCAAACTGCACAAAGTGAGTTTCAGACAGCCAAAACAAGTGTGAATTTTAATATATTAAATGCCTGAAAACCAATTTCAAGTTGTTGAGGCCTGAGTTTTTTTCATCTTTGCAAACAGTTGAGCTATTTTCTAATAACTCATGACTAAACTACAAAAACACTGACTGCTAAATATACACTGGATTCAAGCCAGAGCCTTACAAACAAGTCGATGATGTTCCCTCCATTAGGATCATTATTAATGACAAGAGGCAGAACCCAATTTAGTTCATTAGGGAGCCAAAAAAACAAAGTTATGGAATGTACATAGCATTGATGAAAACCATCGATCAGAGACGGGCTGCAGCCACCACAACAACTCGTTTAATCCTGCATCCTCTCCCCTCCCTGGCTGTGCAGTCTACTGGAAACAGGCTGTCCCCAAGCAAGCTGCATGGATCACTGTGCAGCAACACTTACTCCAAAACCTTTGCAGGGAAAGCAGAGAGGACACAATGCAGGTGTGCATATTGTCAGGCTGGCGCTTTCAGAAATCCACCAGATTTACTGCACACATGCAGATCAAGATCATTTGAGAGCAAAGCAGCTTTAACATGTGATATGCTTTTCTTTCCACGCTGCTAGGAAAAGCAAAGAAAACTGGAAATGCAACTTGAAGCACAAAATAAAAACCAAGAAACAAAAGGTTGCACAAAATTCACGTGATGATAAGTGTGGTTGATAAGGAGCTGTGGTTCTTCAATATGAAAAAGCACATCCTACAATTTTTTACTTATACATTGTCTTCCCTCAATTCAGGACTATATCATGGCGGAGACCAATGATTGCCTTGGGACATCACATCTTAAAGTATAAAATTCACTGTATAATCATTTGTGACCCAAGCCTTGAAAAATCTACTTGGTTTCCAGCTTTATTTCGGTTGTCTTTTATGCCACTAACTTGAGAAGAAAACAAGGATTTTGAGCAGGTTTCAAAAGAAAAAAAAAAAAAAGGGCAAAACCCCCCAAACCTTTGACAAAAAGCCTTTGAGCATAAGTGGCCTATGACACTGCAAAGTATCCATTGTACTAAAATTAATTTTTTTTTGTTTTGCTTTCCACACCTATCACCACAATTCCCCTCAAAATTTGCAATGCACAAAGGGAGATGGCCACAGTAAAACAATGCCTTCCTTCAGTATATGAAAAGGGGGGAAAAAATAGAAACCCATGCATGCACAGTCTAACTACAGCACTTTCTAGAAGAAAAAGTCTCCATTGTTCTACTTTTCAATATTATGTCTCTGCCATACAATTTCAGTTATCTGCTCTAACAGCTGTTAAAATTACTCTTGCTTGAAGAGAAAAAAAAGAAAATAACTTGAAAATAACTGCTGCTTATTAAACCATGGAATTAAGTTAAATGGGATTATCTAGGAAAAAAAATAAATGTATTGGAAATGTTAAAAAATTAAAAAGTGCATTCATCACACCGGAAATCAGAAGCTGGTCTGGCAGTACTTCACATGCCAAGAGGATTTCTCAGAGCAGGTAGGTAGCTGCACTTCTTATTTGCTATGAAATGCCTCTAGTGACAATTTTCAATTAAAATTATCTGCTTATCATTCTATCAGTTTTATACCCACAGACTGGATCACTACAAACCTGTGTGTATCCGTATGTTTATAAACTCTAACAGTAAAGAGCACAGAAATCTTTTTATATTGCTATTTGAACTAAGCAGAATCTTTTAACTTGACAGCAAAAATAACTGAACACTACAACACTACACCAGAACCAGAATATGTCTAAAAGGAAGGTCAGTTGTTAGGATAAGCATCCCCACTCTCTGTTGGTATTCTTTTCTGCACAGGGATTTATTCAGGGGCAAGACAGACAAAACACTTAAGGCCAGGTTGGATGAGATATTGAGCAATCTGATCTAATGAAAGATGTCCCTGCTCATGGCAGGGGGTTGGACTAGATGATCTTTAAAGGTACCTTCCAACTGAAACCTTTCTGTGATGATACTATTCTCTAACAATCAGAAAAGGTAAGTGCAAAACCTATCAGGTCACTAAAAGATTCCCATTTTTATTGTTATTTCTATTTCTACTTCTGGAGTTAAAAACAAACACTATTTAAAAAGCCATGTATAACAAAAGGCTAAGTTTGAATTTAATTTATGCTCCACTGCTCTATCATGGCAGCTTAAACAAATATAGCTATTTAGATATTCATGTAGGCAACTCTATTCATATCAACCAGACCAACAAATGTTTTCAAACTCTATCACAACATAACAGCCATTACAGATTTGGCTCCAAATTTAAGTTTTCTGAATCAACGGTTTCTACATCTTCAAGCTTACAGAAAAACTAATTTTTCTGTGTTAGGGGCTGCTG